CCCCCAAAGCCAGATCTTTTCCAGCTGTTCCCGACGGCTGCCTTTCCACTCGTCCTCTCCCCACGTCCGTGTCTCGCTCCCTCTTGGCAACAGAGTGAGCTGCATTAGAGGCGGCCTTTTTCGTAGAATCCTAGCATCAGGGGAAGGGGCCTCGAAGGCCATCCAGTCCAACCCCCTGCTCAAGGCAGGGATCCCAAATCAAAGCAGCTCTGACTGAGGGTTGTCTAAATTTCTCTTATATTCCTCCGTGTTAGAGCGCTCGCCCCGTTCCACCGAGATCATGGGTTCCCGTTGTCGCACTGCTCTAACAGTTAGGACATTTTTCCTGATCTTCCGCCAAAATCTGGCTTCCTGTCACCCGAGCCCATGGGGACGTGTCCTGCACTCTGGGTTGAAGGAGGACAGATCCTGCCCCTTCTCTGTAGCACAGCCTTTCATTCATGTCTTTGAAAAGTGCTGGTTCTCTTTCCCCTCATTCTCCTTTTCTGGAGGTTAAACGGGTCCAGTTCTTTCCGTTTTCCCTCCGAGCGCTTTTTCTTCCTTCCACCTTCTAGCTTTAGGGGAAAAGAAATACGAAAAAAAGAATTTACAAAACAGGTCCGAGGTCTTCCGCCGAGGCCACCAAGAGTAGCCAGTGTTCAGAAAATTCTCTTTTCTGGACTGCCGTTCTGAGCATCAGCCAAGACGGACGGTGGCCGCAGGAGCCGTCGTCCGATTTGGAGAGTCGTGCCGTTCCGTATCTCAGCTCTTTTGAACGGTCATGATTTCCCCCATCGGACGCCTGCTTAGGCAACCGTTTCCCTTGAAGTTCCGTATTCTGTGGGGTTTGCTGCTGAGTTGACTTATGACCCGCGGCAGTCTCTGACCAGATCATCCCTAAGTGGAGCAGCCCGAGAGGGAGTTGCATTTTAAAAAGCTCGGTCCTTTTAAAACCATTGTTTGGAGTGACCACCTTTCTGTAGATGGCCCTTCCCAGATCCTGTCTCCCTGCCCTGCCTGGCCCGGTGGTGGATCAGGGCTTTCTTTCCTCCACCAACAGAGACGTGGGCTGGTGGCCCCATCTCGTGGCTCCTTCTCTGAACAAAACCTTAAAGCCTGTAAGGTTTTTTTTAAAAAAAGGTCCCGGGTCATTTCAGGGACAGGGCGGTGGGGCGGGAGGCCCTGTGAATGTTCTGAATGTTCGCTGGATGATGGCATGGTTCGAATTGGGTTGCTGGCCGATTAGATGCCTCAGCCTTACTCGGACATCTTCAAGCACTGCTTCTCCCCAGGGTGGCCTCGCCTCACATTCGGGCGTGGATTCCCCTCGGAGGGGTGGGTGCCAGATCCGACCCCTGCCTTCCCCGGTTGTTCAAGGCCTCCCACAACCAGGACAGGCTGGAAGGAAGCAGCGGCGAAGGGGTTGCCTGCCAGAGTAAATCACACGGCACAGGGCAGATCTAGGGGCTGGGGCTGTCGCTGGACCCAGACTTTGGAACTCTCTGCCACTGGAGGCCAGGCTGGCCCCATCTTTAACTCTCCTTCCACAAGCAGGCAAATAGACTTTTCTCTTCAGGCAAGCTTTCCTTAGGTACAATCGGGAATTGGTTTAGCCCCAAACATGCAGATTTTACGAAGTCCATGGGACTGCTGGGGCTTGAGGACCCCCCCTCCCGGAAGGTGACACTAAAGCCCATGTTGGGCAGAGCTGAGTAATTCTGGATTTCCCCCTTCTTTCTCTCTTGCAGCGATGCTGCAGGACGATTCCTTCCTTAACGTATAAGATAATGGAACTAAAGAATCGTTTCTTATTTTGGTTCCATGCTATCCTCCTTGATTCTATGCTGGAGTGGAGAATGGGGCCTTTATACCCCTTTCTGGCCACCCCAAGAGCCGCTGCACTCTAGCCGCCTAGAGTGGCCTTTTAGGCCAGATGGGCAGGGTATCAATCAATCAATCAATCAATCAATCAATCAATCAATCAATCAATCAATCAATCAATCAATCAATCAAACAAACAAACAAACAAACAAACAAACAAACA